TAAATAAAAGTGGTACAAAACAAAAATTGTATTGTTCCCTTGTTAGGGTTTACTGAGATATTGTTGATTTCCTTACCAAGCTTACGAGGGAGATAGCTGTACTCTTCTAGTAAATATTTAATACATCATGTTCTGTGATGTTCTGTCATGCTGTGTTTGCTTTTGTAAATGTACAACCTTTATACTCAGAACGAATTAAATGGAAGCTATGAACATAAAAGAGAAAAACCAGCATACAGTAAAGATGAGTGCACAGCCAGCAAACACCTGTATTCCTGGCCTCTCATTTCTCTTTTTCCTGAAATATAGAGTATTTTCTAATAATGTTAGCATGGTAGGTATAATTTCAGCACAGCTGGAAGCTTATTTTGGGTGTTTTGGTTTTATATGTCCTAGTTATAAAAGCTGTTTTCACGTTTATTCCCTTTTTTAAAATAAAAGAGAGAGAGAAAGGATCAGAAAAGGACAATAAGAGGAGAAAACATCACTGAATTTAAAGAAGGCTTAGTAGATCTTTGATCCTAGTATAATGTAAAGATATAAGGTAATTCAATTGTTATCCTATTGCTTTAGAAATACTGGAGGATGTACTTGTACAGCAGGGAAGGCTGCATGCTGTGTTATTTTACAACTGTCCATAGTTCATTATTTATCCCTAAGGTTTTTAATAAACAACATATTGATAAAACCTACACAGTACTGCATGGTGTGTGGAAGGAACAAATGACATTTGGCATAAGAAGAGGGGTATTTAAAAAGCAAAATGCTGAAAGTTATGCTACTAGGGATTTCAAATAAGGAAACTTTGCCAAAGAACACTGTGTAAGATATTAAGGGGAAAGTCACAATAAAAGTCAATATAATGTGCATTCTTAGGATTTATTTACAGAATCTATTATACCATTTATATTACCATGTTTTGAGCTCACTTAGATGTAATGGTACTCTGTATTATTACTTCAGAGAATATGTCTCCTCCTGACACTTTTATTTTAAATATGAAAGGTCTCACTTTAATTACATTATCCAAAATCTGCCCAGATTGTAGTTAGCCTGAATTGTGTTGAACTAAAAAAAGCCTGCTTCAAACTTTGTTTCAAAATGAAATCCAGTAGTTTTAACAAACCTTGGTTACCTGCAACTAATTTGGGGGAGAAACAAAATTTTCAGCTTCCTTGCAGCCACATTTGACAAAGAGCTCAAAGAGGACTCTGTTGTCTGATCCTCTTTCATGAAATGTGTTGCCCAGTTTAGTGTTTTCACTTAGTGAAAAAGGAATATGGAATAATGGAATATATGGATGACCTTGGGGAACAAGTGGAAGACAAGCTACATAGGAAACAATCAGAAAAGAGACAGAGCAGCCCCCATTGGCTTAATGGTCAGAAAAAGAAATGTATGAAGGACCCACCCTAATTGATCAAGCAGTTAAAAGTTTGTAATTTCAGACTTGAAAGGTTCTGTTAATGTAGCCTTAAAATACAGTAGAATGAGCTGACCTAGACATGATTCCTACCTGGTTTACCTGAAAGGACTGACACTTACAAGTAGAGCATCTTAGAAATCCTTCTAAAAAGTGACTATTCGTGATAATGTGGTAACCATAGCAAAATTCATTGCAGTAGATGGTGTTGTTCTAATACAGATCTCAAATGAATATAGTCCTTCCTGCATTCGCTTATTCATGCCTATATTCTACTGCACTTCATTTTCAGTCTTCAAAGCACTCAGAATCAGGGTCGAAAATGCAGTGTCATAATTCTGGTGATGTCATAATACAGTATACCAGCCCTACAGATGGTCAGAAAATTAACATGTGCCTTTCCTAGGCAGTGCAATAGTGCGATATTAGAATATCAGTCTGTGTTAGCAAGACACACCCTCCCCAAAGAAAAAGACACCTCTAGTCCTTTAAAAGGAGGAGGGGAGTGAAAAATGAGAAGAATGAGAATGTTGATTTCAGAGATATCTAGATCATCTGCAGGAGAGCCAACACACATAATTTGTGCACAACATCGGGACACAAAGCGCTTTTGTTGTGACATTACAATCCATATTTCATTATTTTTGCACAGGTGCCTTTGACTGATTGCAGTATAAATACAACTTTATATACAACAGTCGTAGACTTTCATAATGGCTTCTTAACTTTTCTACAATAAATCAGAAGTTTCTTGTACCCTTGTATATTTGTTTATCTTTTCCCATCCAGCTTCTCAAGAAGACCTCTGACCCACCCACGCAGGAACACTGTGACAAATGATCAGATTCAATGATCTTCTCTGTTCCTCTTTAGTGACAATGGTGATCACAATGGTTATGATGATATACTTTTTTTTCTTCAAGTTATGCTTCCAGGTGGCTACCCATATCTCCAAAGAAATCCTTTTCAGGAAACATTTTTAAATAAATACATATCCAAAAGGGTGGATTAACTCAAAATTATTTTCAGCAAGAGTTTCTCATAATGTGAGAAATCATGGAAGCACATTAAGTGATTGAAAGTGAAGCATTTCATTTTGTACTGTAAATTTGGCTGCAAAGCAAGGATAGATTTTAATATGAACACTTCTACAAGCCCAAGTACAAACCTCTGTTATTTCAGGACTTTAGATGAAATTTATTAGTAGAAATGTGACTAATTATTTTAGTTCTTCATGGAATTATTTCAAGTAGATAATTGTCAGCTGAACTACAAATTTATTTTGGCAAACTCAGCAGCAATGCCATAGTGCATTACTCTTAATGTTCAAATATAACAGAACAACAGTTGAAAGGGACCTTGGAGATCTTTTAGTTCAAACTCTATATCATTTGAGACAAATGCTTGTCCAATCTCTTCTTAAATCCTCCAATATTGGAGTACCCACAATATTTGGAGGCAAGTTGTTCCACCGATTAATTATTCTAACTGCAGAAAATTTCTCCTTAGTTCTAGGTTGGTTCTATTCTTGATTAATGTCCATCCATTGCTTCCTGTTCTGCTTTCAGGTGCTTTGGGAAATAGGTTCACCCTTTGGAGAATAGGTTGATATCTATATATATTAAATAGAATCCTATTCTTTTGTAATAAACAACCTAACTTTTATTCAGTTGCAAGGCCATTTTTTCATATAATACAATTTCAATCAATTCTGTTTTTATTACAATGATCATGATAGCAATTCAGTACTATTACTGAAAAAAAATCCTATCCTGCCATGCAGAAAATTTGGAATGACACAATCATCAATCTGGATGTTGTCTGCCAAATTCAATGGAATGGAACTTGGAGGACATTTTTTAAAAATATAGTCCCCAAATCAACCAGTACAATCCTCCCACTGTTACTTGTCGTGGCTTAGTCTTATTTAAGCAAGGGAAACAGATTTGGAAATTGGTCCTGTTTGCAAATGTGCCACCAACCTCTCCAATTGCTGAAGCAAAAGAATGAAATAGGTCAGCTGGAGAAAAGGAACATTCCTTAATTATGGGAGCAGATGCCACATGGCCAAGGGCTAGAGAGGTTCTGACAACTGTACTAACAATGAGATTTATAAGTGGAAAACGTTTTTGAGGAGCCCTGTTGTCCATCAGTTCAATCCACAGATGGTGGAATTGACCCTTAGTGTGTGATAGTCTGCAATAGAAATGACTGAAAATCAAGTTATATAGAGAAAACGTATCTGCCAAATGACTGATGGCTCCCTATAACAAAACCATTAAAACAGAGAATATGTGAGGATCATAACAGAATGTACATGTAAATTTGTTAGCTAGATGGTTCTCTAGGGAGGCATAATTAGTTAGGTGAGCAGATAGCTAGCTAATCCTTTTGATGTAGGAAAAGACCATGTTGTAAAATTTAAGCTGGTTTAATAATAAGATCCAATGATAATATTTTTTCAAAATTCTAGTTTGGAGAAAGAAAAGACCTGTTTCAGCTGAAAATGACTGAAAGTATCATTAGTTTGAAATGCTCAACAGACTAGTGAGAACATTGTTTCAAAATCTGTCATGAAGTTTATTCAAAGCCTTCAGTTTTTTCCCTTTGCAATAGAAACTGCTGTTTCCTCCTCTTCTTCCTCTTCCTCCTCCTCCTCCTCTTCCTTCTGAAATTTATTTTGCATTTCTCCTGCCACAATTTTTTATTTCACCACAAGGTGGTGGAAGATGATACTCTAAATATTTTTCCTTCACTTTATAGCTTTATTTCTTTTTTTAAGGATAGGAGGAAGTTGCTCATGATTTGTAGGGAGCCAAAGAAGCTGCAACACACTAGAGAAAAGATTGTACCATAAAGACACAGATTCATAATAATTAAATATATTTGAGAAATACTCATAATACTCTACATTTTACAATATCATTTCAATATGATTTTTTTGTCTATGAGAAATGTTAAAACAATTTATTTTCCAAGACGTAGAATCAAAACTGCTTAAAAATTTATTTTCACCTCTCACTTACAACTTTTTGTCTAGTGGAGATTTTGTGTAGACAAGAGATTTTGTATATTCCAGTGGAATTTTTAACCTCGTGGATTATACTGTAAACAGTGTAATCATACATGATTCAGATTACACAGTTTGGTTAACTCTTACACTGAGTTGGGCCAGTGCTTACATAATAATACAGATAAATCTGTTCACTGAACCAGCAAATTATTTGATAACCAACCTCAGTGTTAAATCTTCACTTGGTAGAAAACATAAGCTCAGATTTTTCTATAAAACGCTCAGCTGCTGATGCTAAAGCAAAGATTTTAGTTTTACAAGAGAACATTAAACACCTGGCTGTACTTCTCTGGCTTCTGATATGTAAGCTAAATGAACTGATTTACGCTTATGCAGATCTTTTCTGAACTGGTACTTATCTTTTCTAGGATACTCAGGAACAAAAGGAAAATCTCATTACAATTGTCACGGGCATGCCAGTGGAGCTGGCCTCTGCAGAGCAAGCAAAATAAGAAGTTTTTAGATCATTTGTAAGAATTTCCCACATGAGTAACTCACATAGAATCTCTATCTCAAATTCCAAGAAGCAGCAGACAGAGGCATGTAATAACATCAGGCTACCATCTGAGGGTTTATTGATGGTTTTTCCGGCACATAGGACATAGAGTCATAGAGTTAGAAAGGATCTCAGATGTCTACTAGTCCAACCAGGTCAGGACTAGTACTAACCAGGTCTGACTCCCCTTAGCTGTTTGAGGTTAGTCAGCTCGGTGCTGCCATCTGCTGGCTGTTATTTCTGAATAACAAATCAGAAGAAACAGGTATTATGCATTTTGGGGTAAGTGTTCTTATCTAAGATCCTGGATACAATATTTTTCAACGGTTGCAAATAAATTTGTTTTTATTATCAGAGGCATATGCTTTCTCATATAATCATTGGAGCACAAATGCACTTTGTTTTACTCTATGACACCAAAAACAACAACAACAACCAGAAACTAAGGGGGAAACTTATTTTGACAAGATTATAGAACAAAAGAACATTTCTGAGGGAAAATGTAATTACTATATAGTTGATTGGTAGGAAAGCTGAAATGTGAGCTACCCTACTCTCCTCCACCCCAGCCTCCTGTTCCTCCCATTCCACACTTCCTTCTCCTCCTGGTAATTCAATGTGAAACAGCTAAAAATTGATCAGTGTCATTCAGAGAGTTTATGATGAATACACATTTAAAGATAGCCTGCAAGGAAGCATAATTTGAAATATACTGAGAAAGGACTATTTTATAACAATTATCTATTCATTTCAAATAATGACTTTGGAGATCTGCTCTTTTAAGTTAGAATTGCAATCAATTATCCAAACGTGTGGAGGGAGAAACAAAGGAAAAAGTAAGTGGTTTTGCTCCTCCAGGACTTCAAGCAAGATCTATTTACGTCTTTCAAACCCAAAATGGAAATTAGCAGGAAATGGAAAAATGAAAAAGTAACTAAGTTATATTGTTACAGTTTACTAATGCCAAAAATAAATCCAGTCTTTTTTAAATTGGCCAGATGACTAGAATAAAATGAAAAAAAAACAAAAACAAAAACTAGTTTAATTTCAAGAGTTTTACCAATAAGATATAATATTGGGTATGATCTTGAAAGATAGGGGGAAGAGATGCTACCTAGAATAGATTAAATAAAGAGAGGCTGATAGCTCAACAGACAGAGAAAGGAACTCAGAAAGGAATCTCCCTAACTTTTCAGTTGATTAAAATGATGGCAGGAGATTTGTACTTTCAGACATTCAAGATTCTGTTTATGTAGCTCACCTGGTCATTTTTCCTGTGTGATCTAAGGTTGAGAAAACTTTACTGATTGCAAACCACTCTGAAGTTCATGCAAAAACTTGAGATCCACTGGTAAGTGCTCAGGATTTCCTGAAAAATAAAACAGGCTTAGCCTCCTAGGACTGATATTTAAACTATAATATCATCATCATCATCATCTCCTCCTCCTCCCCCCCCCCTTAAACAGGGAGGGGGCATCATTTTGTTTCTTGGAAAGAAAATGTGCAAATAATTTTCCCCCACAACTTTTATATTTTAATTTTGTTTATATTGGTTTGTTTTTTTCTAAGTGTATTTAATGCCTATTTGGAAATGGTTCTTGGAAGATTACTGTACAAATATAGACATTAAACCCATATATATAACAATATCATGATTTTTAAATCCCTCAAAAACCCAACAGAAGTTTACTTCACTATAAGCAGATTATGGAAAAAGCACACATTGCTGCCAGGTTGAATAAAAATAATGCCCCCACTGAAAATTTTAAGTGCATAGGAGTATATAATCTTGTAGATAATTTGATCAAACCATGTATGGCTTTGCGCATCATGATGTATCCAAAGATAGCTTCTTAAACCAGTGGCAAACCAAAGTCTTGAAAGTGGCGCAAAGAGAGAGAGAGATAGAGAGAGAAAGGGAGAGAGAGAGAGAATGATGCAACCAAAACTCACTCAGATAGATGTTGCCAGATTATGTGTTGGACACTGTGACATGTGGCATCATTTCATTTATGAAATGTCCAGAAGACTGATGGACTGCTGAATCGTGTCCTGATTGGCTTCTTCTCCTATGCATTGTAGTGTTATACCACATTGCTCAGTTTGTGTCTGGATGTTTTATCTTTGGGATAGCCACATATTCTGAGTGCTTCTTTGATGTGTTTAACATCAAACATATCAAGGAAGCTCTCAGAACATGTGGCTATCCCAAGTGGGGCTTCATCAAATCCCCAGCAGGAGCTCCTCTATAACAGACAAAGAAAAAACAATAAACAAAGCAACGTTGTCATTCCATACATTGCAGGAATATCACAAAAACTCAGGAGGATTTTCAACCAACACAACATATTTGCACACTTCAAACCCATAAATACGCTAAGACAGAAGCTTGTCCATCCCAAGGATAAAATACCCAGACACAAACTGACCCAGGTGGTATATGCAGTACAATGCAGTGAACTATCTGCAGAAACAAAACAACCACTTCATAAATGCATAGCACAACATAGGAGAACAAATCAATCAGGACAAGATTCAGCAGTCCATCTGTATTTAAAAGACAAAGGCCACACTTTTGAAGACAGTAAAGTCCACATTTTGGATAGAGGGGACTGGTTTGAAAGAGGGGTCAAAGAGGCCATCTATATCAAAACTGAACACTCTCTCTCAGCAGAGAGGGACAGGTATGAAATCATCTATGTCCAGTCTACAAAACCATCTTTCAGCAGTTCCAAGAAGGCTCCACACCCATATGCACTTCTCAGGTGACCTCGATGACTCAGATGAACCTCCAAATGGCTCCAACAACTATCTAAAAGAATGCAAATGACCAGCTGTCTGCAAGGAGTATAAATCCTTCCATTCCCCACCATCCAGTCAGAGCTGAAGAAGCTTCTTGGATGAGAAGTGAGACATCTTCAAAGAAAAACAAGGAAGTCCAGTTGCATTGTGAAAAAGCATCTTTGGGATAACTATGACCTGGATGATTGAGAATCTCCATAGACCTCAAGGCTAGACCACAATAATTTAAGTTGCTTCTTTACATAATTTACTGTTAGGGCCCAAATTTTACCATGTAATGATTAATGAGTGGCAAGGCCTTCACTGGGAACAGCATATATTCATTCCCGGCCCCTTCTTCCAATTTATTCTTATCTATTATATTCACTATAGATAATACCATGCAAAGTACAGAAAAATGAGTAAGAAATAATAAAATAAATTAAAGAAAAGAAACGAAATAAAAGAAACCTAATCAAATGTTTATACTAAAATAATTCACTATGCCTTCTCATATGCTTCAATTCTTGCTAATCAACCTTATTTCTATCCCATTCATACAAAGAAAAAAGAAGATATATATGGTACTAAACAAAGCTCCACCAAAGCCATTTTCTCTTATGCCTACATAAAGTGAATCTAGTGTCCCCTCTTCATGTTGTTAGTGATGCTCTTTACTAGAGAAAAATGTTGAAGGAGTCTCAACCAGGCAGGTCACCTTGCTTATTAAGTAATAGTACACCACCAACATTGCTTTTAGGTAGGGCCTTCATAAATGCCCCATGATGCTAATTCCCATTGCCAACCCCATTCAGTTAAAAAGTTATTTAATTATAGCAAGTAATTTGGGAGTAGACAAGTCCGTCTTCTATGCTGGGACCCTTTGACACTGCTGAGATTGCTTTTTTCCAATCAGCTGGAAACAGATTTACAGCAGAAGTTCCATATGGCTCTTGATAACATGGACATAGAATTACCATCATTTCATTATAAAAGAAACAAGAAACTGGTCAGAAACCATAACTAATTAAGAGACAAATAAGTGGCAATTCATCAAATATTGCCCAGCTATGCCGAACAGGAAGTAATAAAAGAGAAGAAACTTTAAGGAAGATGCTTTTTCAATTAATGATATCCTACTTTTAAAAAGCTTCAATAGCATTTTACCTACCATGAGTGAGCAGCAATTTTATTGTAACATACAAAAATGCAGAGACTCAAACGGCAGCACAATAGCAAAATCTTTAGAACAGAATGCTTTTCAATGACCCAATCCACATTCTTTTAAATGATGGTTATGAATGAAGGTAATGAAAACAAGCAAATCTGGAAAAAAGTAAGCAAATCTGAAAACAAAAAACAAAACAAAAAAAAAAACCTAGTATGGAAGAAACCCAGAAACTGGCCCAAAGTCACCCAGCCAGTTTTCATGCCTAACGCAGGATTGGAACTCACAGCCTCCTGATTTCTAGCCTGATATCTGGACCACAAGACCAAACTGATTCTTTCCAGACTAGCCTTTTGAGAATATGACAGCTATACATCTTGCTTTATGAAAAGTATATTTCCAACATTTATTTGCGTTCAGGTAAACTTCTGTTTAGATTAGCTGCTAAATTGAGATCTTCCATTTAAATGGTTGAAATGGGCTGCTATTGAAATGGTCCGGAAACTTCAATTAATTCAAAGCCATACTACTGAGATGCTACCAGGATTGGTAGTCTCATTGTGATACTGTTTTGCCATCTGCGCTCCCTGCCAAATTATCTCCAGACTCAATTTAACCTAAACAGCTTGAGGCCAGGTTATTGAAAGAGCACCCTGCCACATACATAGGCTTCTAACATTTTTATTTGAAGCTTCACCCTGTTTCAGGTACCTCTATCCAGTAATAAGACTGTGGAGGTAGGGAGTACCTACAGAGAAAAAATGCTATATTATTCTAGCATTATATTCTACTTATTGTTGTTGCTTCCAGGGCTCTGAAGTTTTTTATTTTATTTTATTTTGTCTCTTGTTTTTTATACGTTCCTTTTATATGTCTTTTATTTTGTTTGATATTGTTTGGGAGTTCTATTAAGATAGCTAATTTTTATGCTACTTTTATATGTTTCAATTAATAATATGCCACTTTGAGAACTACAGTTCTTTAGCCGTGTCAAGATATGATAAAATGGTAGAAGAATATTGATTTAAAAAACAACTACTTATTTCCTCTGCTGGAAATAAGACCTTAGGACAATAGTTGTTCATGAAACCCATAAGAACTACCAAACTGTCTAAATCTGGAATTATTGTATGTGGCTGTGATTACTTCATATGAGAGGTATAGCTTTCTAGTCAAATGTACAGTAAAATGGATCAAAATCTCCCAAAACTCCAGGCTCTTCTCTTGAATCCTAGATAACTCACTGAGAGCAAAATTTTAATTCCTCACATCAGAAGTTTTGTGAAGCGATGTCATATTTGATAGAATACCAGCACTCCACCCATTTCAAGATAAAATGATTTTACAGTACTTTAATGAAATAGCTCTTCTTTTTTATGAGCTCTGAAAATATCTCATTAACAGTGTTGCAAATTATCATAATAACTTATGGTGACATACCAATTTGTTCTCATTTGTGAATAAGTCCTTTGACAAACTTAATGAGATATTATGGGAAATTCCCAGCCTCATCATTAGAGTAAGTTTCTGAAATAAATGTCCAAAAGGAAATTATTTTGAGCCCAATATTTGAAAAAAAAGTGTAAATACACTTTGCTCCAAAGCCATATCACCTACATAACATCTTCAGAAAATAGTTTTCTTACTTGTTTAGATCATCTATGGTTTCCAAAGGGGTGGGGTGGTGGCTCAGCAATTAAGATGCTGGGCTTGTCGGTTGAAAGACATCAGCCAAAGTTCAAGACCTGAGCGCCACATAATGGGGTGAGCTCCCATCCTTGCCCCAGCTCCTGCCCACCTAGCAGTTCAAAAGCATGCAAAAACAAATAGATAAATAGGTATCACTTCAGTGCGAAGGTAGCAGCACTCCACATGACAGCACTGGACAGCACTGGCTCAATGACTTTGAAACGGAGAAGAACACCACCTCGTAAAGTCAGCTGTGGCTAGCTGAGTAAAATCTGCAGGGACTCTACCTTTACCTTTGTGGTTTCCACATTTTTTATCATCTAGGCAAATATTCCAAAGTTAAAGAAAAAAATTTGAATGTCTAATTCAATACTTCTGTGAACATCAAGATATATTAAACCTTGAGAAAGTTTTTATTTGTTAATAGTCATATTGTACTGGTACCAGATAAATTATTTTTTAATAAAACTATTATATTTTGACATAAACCTGGAGGAAGAGGTAATGACATTTAGTATACAGACAGCCCAGCAGGGATCCATTTTTAAAACTCTACTGTAACATTAAGCAAAAATTAAGTAAATATTTATAACTAGAAGTTACAAAAATGAAAGAGAAATGTAAAACATTCAGTAAAAGCCATGTGCTTGTGAAAATAATAAAACTCCACATTCTTACTGAAAGGAGCAAATTATAAATATTTGGATGTTCAGAATTTGCTGAGATACTTGGGAACCAATTTTTTATGAATTACTATATCAAATTCAAATAAACAATATGGAAGATTTGAAATGCATGTTATTTAAGATAACTTTTATTTTCACTTTTCTGTGTTTACAATGGTACATATTAAAATGAGATTCTGATGCCCATTCTTAAAAGAATAAACTTACATACATACATATACATATACTGTACAATATATATATATATATATCATAGTCCATTTTGAACATAGCAGAAAAAAATAGCCTTAACAGAATAACACAGTTGGAAGGGAACTTGGAGGTCTTCTAGTCCAATCTTCTGTTCAAACAGGAGACCTTATACCATTCCAGACAAGTGGCTGTCCAATCTCTTCTTAAAAGCTTTTAGCCATCCAGTGCTCACAACTTCTGAATGCAAACCTTTCCACTGGTTAATTGTTCTCACTATTAGGAAATTTCTCCTTAGTTCTAGTTTGCTTCTCTCCTTGATTAGTTTTCATACATTGTTTCTTGTCCTAGCTTCTGATGCTTTGGAAAATTGGTTGAGCCCCTATTTGTGGCAGCACCTCAAATATTGGAACATTGCTATCATGTCCTTCATTTCACTAGACTAGACAAACCCAATTCCAGCAACCGTTCTTCATAGTTTAGCCTCCAACCCTCTAATCATCTTTGTTGTTCTTTTCTGCACTCTTTCCAGAGTCTCTACATCTTTTTTATAATATGGTGACCAAATTTTATAATATGGTGACAAAATATGGACTTGAAAGTTAGCAAGGTTGATACTATCTGGTATAAAGCTATTACAGAATTTAGTAGTTCTGCTTCAGATACCACAAAACCTCTTCCCAGAACCTAACAAAGGTAAGAAATTTATAAATTGCATCTGGCATAGTTGCAGAATTATTTAATGATACTAGCAAAATCAAATGTTAATCCAAAGTAGAGAATACTTTAAAAAAAAAGGACTAGTGTGCAGGACTTGTGTGCTCATAGGTATGAGGAGCAAGGGTTATAATTTCTTTGTTTTTGTTTTTTATAGTACATCACCAAGGTTTTCTTTAGTTACACAGAGAGTATTATTCAAGTGAGGTAACTTTATCTGATTTGCATAAATATCATTGAGCTAATATTTTATTAGCTACCAGAATGTGGAATGAAAATGCAGTGAAATACTATCTTTTTTTGGACTACATTGGAAAGTTATTATTCATTTCTCTTTTACTTCCGGTGGATTAGCGTCGGTGATGGCGGCTACTTTGTAGCCGTCCTCCTGGGAAAGCGTTAGAACCGCAGAGAACAGCAGGCACCAGCTGTTCCGCAGCTCAAAACCTCCCTCCCGGGAAAAGGGGGGAGGGGAGTATCACCCGAATAGAGGTAGAGCCTCTTGGACCCCCCAGGAAGTTTTCTTTGGGGGGTGAAAAGAGTGCTCCCTCAGAGTTCGGGTTGCCTCTGCCTCCCAGCTGTCTTTGTCCCTCAGGGACAAAGCAAGACGCCGCTCCCACCTCCGCGCTTAAAGAGACCGGGTGAGTTACTTTTAAAAGCGGACAGAGTTGGATAAAGGATTTTTTTATTGGCTTTTATTTGGACTTTAGTTTGAAAGGTGGATTTTTATTTCCCTTCTTTTTTCTCTTTTTTTTTTTCCTTTTGTGAGAGTGAAAGTAAAATGGCGAACGGAAAGTTTTTTTTTTTTTTTTTTTTAAAAAAGTGAGTGAAACGGAATGTAATGGACTAGATTGTTCTTTTTTAATTTTTTTTCTTAAGGTGGATTTGTGTTTTGGGAAGATTCTTTTTTTGTTAAACTCTCTTTTGCTATCTTTTTTTTCTTTTAAGGGATTCTTTTTTTGTATTTTTTATTTCTTTTTTCAAAGAAGGAGGAAAGAAGAAACAAAACTTTTTCTTTTTTGAAAATGGTTTCAAAGCAACAAGCAACGTCTACAGTACCTAAGGTGGCTTCTTCTCCTGCGATTTTACCAGTACAACAACCTAAAGCTACACCGCCACCCTCTCCCCCTTTGCCAGCAGTAACGGTAAAAGATATGCAAGACATAATGGGAAATGCGGTATCTCAAATCAGAGGGGAAGTGAAAGAGCTTTTAGTGGAGAATAATATTATTTTGAGGCAAGATATAGTTATGGCTTTAACAGGACTTGCTTCTGTGGTTGAGAAGTTGGATTCTAGGGTGGAAGAAGTTGCAGACAAGGTGGAGATTCTGGAAGATAAATTTGAAGGCATGGAAAAAAAGATGGAAATTTCACAAGATGATATTGTTATGTCTCAATATAGAGAAATGGAGTATGCTTTAAGAATCAGAGGGCTGAGAGAAGACATGCAATAAGACTTGAGAGAGATTGTAGTAAATGACTTTGCTGCTATTCTGGATAGAGAGAAGGAGGAAATACCTAGAGAAATTGAAAAAAATATTTAGAGTTAACTCTTGGATTGCAAAGCAAAGAAACCTGCCAAGAGATGTGGTAATCTATTTTGGGAAGAGATCTCTGCGTAATGAAATTATACAAGCTTTTTATAATAAGAGGTTTCAGATTGCTGCTCAAGATGTCATTATTTTAAAGGAGATTCCATCTAAAATTTTAAGAAGGAGAAAAGAGTTTGCTTTCTTAGCCAATGAACTTAAAAAAAGATTGATGCCATTCAGATGGGAGATTCCGATGGGTATCATGGTGAGTCATGCGGGGACGCGTTATAGACTTAACACTGTTTCTAAAGCAAAAGAGTTTTATAAGTCAGTCCTGGGAGCAGGCTCATCACCACCTATGATGCAGAAAGTCTTGGATGGCAAGGAGGTGGAACAGCAGTCTGAAGAAGTAGTATTGATGGATGTTGGAAAATCACAGGCTGAGTGGTCGCAACAAGCAGAGATCAAAGAGCAAAGAATGACTCGGGCAGCCCATAGACGTAAGGAAAAGGAACAACAGAAGAAAGAAGTTAAAGAAGTTCTACAAGAATTTGCTTCGGTGCCTGTGGGAGGAGCAAGACCCAAGAGCTCTGCAGTACATTCTTCAATGGCAGATCTTCAAGCAGTCTTCTCCAGGCTTTTGGTCAAGGGAGATGGTAAAGCTCCTGACATGGAATGCTAATGGTCTTAATTCCCCCCAAAAGAGAAAGAAAATTTTTCATTATTTAAAGCAACATAACAATGATATTATTTGCCTGCAGGAAACACACATTATATCTAAAGATCAAAAATATTTAGTTAATGCTCGTTTGGGATCTCATTTTGTATCTTCTGCTCCCGGGAAAAAAGGGGGAGTAGTTATTTATGTCAAGCAAAATTTATCAGCCTGTTTAGTAGAATCCGATCCCCAAGGGAGATATGTTATGATTGAAGTGGGTCTGTATGGTAAGAAAGTACTCATAGTGGGGTTGTATGCACCAAATCAACAACAGGAACAATTTTATAGATTGTTACATCAAAAACTAATTTTGTTGGATTATAGATCTGTTATATTAATGGGAGACTGGAATGATGTTTTAGATACACAAAGAGACAAAAAAGGACCCTCTATTTCTTTTAAACAGGCTAAATTACCTAAAGCTTTTTTTGACTTGAAAGAGGACTGGGAGCTGAGAGATTATTGGCATGAACATAACTTGGAGGAGAGAGACTTTACCTTCTTTTCGGACAGACATCAATTTTTCTCAAGAATTGACTTTTTCTTGATTACAATGGATTTATATTTTAGGGTAAAGAATGTTAAGATCTTTCCTAGGACATTGACGGATCATAGTCCAGTTTGGATGGAATTGGTTAATGAAAAAGAGGAGAGGAGATCTTGGAGGATGAATGAAAATTTATTTAGACAAGAAAAGAATGTTCAAAAATTAAAGGAGCAATTAAAGGATTATTTTGCTTTAAATATGTATACGGGAACTTCAATGTCAATGGTCTGGGATGAAGGTAAAGCTTACATGCAGGGGATTTTGATACAAATGAATAAGGTTCATAGACAGAAGCAGGAGTTGGAAGATGTAAGGAGTTGGAAGATGAGATTAAATTAAAAGAAAAAGCTCTGATTTTAAACTCTACAGATGAGAAGATTAAGGAATCTATAAAATTGCTTAAATCACAATTTAATATGTTGATGGCTGATCAAACTGCAACTAATTTATTGTATATGAAACAAAATACATTTTGTAATGCCAATAAACCAGGGAGATGGTTGGCCTATCAATTGAGAAAGAAGCAGAAACAGAGAACTATAGATAAAATAAATTATAACGGTAAATTGGTATATCAGAAAGAGTTGATTAAGAAATCTTTTTTAGATTATTATCAAAAATTATATATGAGTACTAAAGTACAGGCTTCAGATATAGATAATTATTTAAAAGATGCTAACTTTCCTAAACTAACAGAAGATCAGAAACAAGAAATTAATG